TTCAGAAAATATTTCTTTGAGCATATTTTTGGATTGATCTTTAACATTCAACAGTTCCATGTTCCTCTTCTCCATCTATGTTTGAGGAACAGGGAGTTAAAATAAAATGATTATTCCTTTTTTACTGCTTATGGTTTAAAAGATTTTTCTTAAAGAAACAGATTTTCAGGCATTCTGTGACTTAAACTGAACAAGTTTCTTATTTTGGGGGGACAATTTTTTTTTTAATTTTTCTCTGTCACAGTTTCTTGTGAGCATATTTGTAGGCATTCCTTATGTTTTATTGATCCAGTGAGTAAGGACACATTTTTATTCTCTTCCACTTTTCTTTTTTAGTATTGATTTAGAACATAAAATTGTTTTATATATGTTTGTGAGCATCTTTTATCAAATATTGGAAATCTACACATTGATTTACTTTTCCAAAGTAGGTTGGTGAATACACATTTTTCTTTCCAGCTTACCATTTACACTATATGAAATGTATTGTCCTTGGAAGTAAACTAATTCACATTTTGTGGATTTTAAATTTCTCTGGGTGCAGGCTTTTAGCTCTTAAATTCCTTCTGGAAGTGCCTTAAAAAGATGAACAACTGATGGACCTTTGAGAATTATTATATATACATGGAATAATGATACAACTGATTTATTTATTTCAGGTCTTCAGATTGTATTCAATTTGGATGAAGTGTCATTCATTCAAAACCTGGTTTTCTACATTGAATCAGCATACTGTATACCTGTAAGTACCACAAGGTGACATGTTATTGATTATTTATTTCTCTAATTATTAATGAAACTTTGTCAACTGCATAGGGTACATAGGGCTAGATAAGAAATACAGTTAACTCCAATTATCTGTGGGTGGCATTTTATACACACACACAAACAAATGTACGCATGTTTGAGCTTGGCTTTTGTCCCCTCTCTGCATTGTACTGCCAATTTGGGGAGGTTTAATGTCAAACAGTATGTTTTGTGTGTGTGTCATTGCATAATACAGTTAAGTTGCCCTTGTAACAAAGTACAACACCATGAATTAATATGAAGTCCATTGAGTAAAGCTCTATGCATTCTGGACATCA